ACACAACACGTGCGTTTGTGGAACAAGCACGGATTCCTTGCCCTGTGCTGATTGGTCAGTTAAGTTAGATAATGGAGGAAAGAAATTGTTTGATTGATAAAAATGATAAAAGGAAGTTAATTAAATCACAACATAAACGGTACAAGTCACAATTTACCCACTTTATATGCCTACTTAACGAACTCATGCGTATTTATGAATAGAAATTCTTTCTTGTATCAAGCACGTGAAACAAACCGAGTCTGCATGCCCATTAAAGCATAGAATAGTTAGCTAATATGATTTATTTCGTCATATGTTGCAATTTCGAAAAACTTCCTAAAACTCTATTATACACAGTATATTAGACAACCGAAATTCGGAAAAGTATTGAATTTAACCGGCCTACATTAGGCCTAGGCCTACATGCATGGTTAATATCAAGATGGCTTTCCAAACTTACCAAACAGAACGATTTTGAAGGTGCAAGGTTTAGCAACATTACCAGCGAAATCTTCTGCAGTGTATTCAACAATCACTTTACCAACTGAAAACATGCCAAACGTTACGTTGGACCTCAGAGTAGAATTATGTTTGACGTCATTATCCGTAACGGTTGCCTTATGCCATGATACATTGCGTGTATCATACTGGGAGCTAATGACCCGTTTTATATTGGGCGGGCATTCAAGTACGGGTGCTTGGTAATCTGAAAATGACATCATACACATACATAATTTGTAAATTAATTGTGATATCATTGTTTATAGACGGCCTCTCGTAGATGTGTTAATTAAAATATAGGGACGTGATTATAAAATCTAACCAACATAAATTTATTTAAAAATATAATTGTAATGATGATGACAAATTTTGTGAAAGGCATTGTAGGCCAATGTACAAACCTTCATTTATATGTATATATGTATATATATATATTTATATAGGCCTATATATATATATATATAAATGCTGTATTGAGTTAAAACGAAATATTCAGTATCTGAATTACTTACATTATAGAAGCCCTATTTAGTGTTACGAGATATATTGATAAAAATGTACCAAATAGGAACTACATTGTAAAATACTGGCTCACCTTTATTGCAATTTTTTCCCTCCCATCCATTAGTGCAGTTGCATTTCAGTCGGTCGTTGTTTTTTCTGAAACATGTTCCACCATTTAAACATGATATGCCTGATTCACAACTTTGATCTGCAAAAGTTGATGATCAGTCATAATTTCATTATGTGTAAGTTTACTTGATAAATATCGAAATTCCATTTTGTTTTATTATAAATATCCTACCCATTTTATAGACATTAAGCTTCGAAGAAATACACGCAAACTTTAATGTATTGACCATGTTAAGCTTTTTTTGATTAACTGTTCATATCATATTGAAGTCCTTCTAAAGATTGAAATAAATGAAGAAAACTTGTAAAACTCACCTACAAGACCGGAAATAACAACACATTCAGTGTGGACGAAATGAGTAATACACATATACGTTACAGTTTCACGTTAAGACAGGAGAAAACACACGTTTGAACGAGTGCCAACGAGCAATGCACACACATACAATATACAATTTCATGCACATTAAATAAAATAAAATGTGTTTCAAACGCGACAATAATAGCAAATATACAATCCGGTAACAGCTACACTTATCGAATATTATTGCGATTAATATGTGGTTAATAAACAGATATGATGAATATTATAGAGGTTATTTTGGTTCGATGACATATAACCGAGGATATAACCGACACGCAGCTTATCCAGCAGAATTGTAGACGGCTGAACGCCTGACTGCTGCATGCCAAAGACGCAAGCATCGATGTAATACTTCGACGCGTGTGTATTCACGAATTTGCGGTTGCAGTTCCTAGAAAGAAAACAATTATGAAAATTATAAATGAAAGTTTTAGACTCACTCAGAGGATGCAATTCTGTTACTGTATTAGATTCTAGTAAGGTTGACGACGTCAATTCGATTGTGCTTGCCAACTCCTCCGTCTTTTCTGGCTGTGTTGCAGTTCTACCAATTGTATTTGTTGCAAGTGAATGTTCCGTTGGTTTGCTTACGAGAAGTGTGGTCAGATCAGACGGGTTTGTTGTCGAATCAATTGTTTTTAGATCACCTATTGAAGTGCTCATCTGAGTGTTCGTTATAGCAAGAGTTTCTTTGGCAGTTGTATATGATTCAGTCGTGAATAGATTGGTTGCCTTGTATGTATTTTTAATGGTAGTGTGCACATCTGGGGAAACGTCCATTCTAGAAGATGTAAGTGCTTCAACAGTTCTTGATATCACGTTTGGGTCTTCTGTTGTCGTTGGCAGCGTAGAACTAATTGTTAGTGGCAGCTCTGTAGACAGCAATGATGTGCTAATCATGGTATCTACTGGTGTTGTTCTTTTTATTATTGAATCTGTTGTAGTATGTAGTGGTATACCAATAGTATTCTTTTCAGTTATGTCCATATTTGGCGTACTTGTATCAGCATTAGTTACACTTAGAGTGGCATCACCAAATCCCTGCTCCAGGTCTGTAGTTAAGCTTTCAGTTGACATGGTGGGATTACTAGACTGAGTCTTAGGCCTACTACTCCCAGTGGTTTTCATTACTGTTCTCTGTGAAGTATTCATTTCTGGACTCTCCGTTGTAATCCCGTCGGGCATATTTGAAGATGATTGGCCAGCGTCCATAGTTCGCCTTGCTGAAACTTCTGAAGTCTCATAACCAATAGTTGTTTCTTCTACTGGTGGGTTGGCAGTATCAGGTTCTGAGTTCTGTGTGTAGACATGGGATGTTTTACTTTCGTAAGGCACACTTGATTGTGATTGGCCGATCATTGTAGTTGCTTGTATGTTACCTGGAGTGAGGGTCGTGCCTTCGTCAACTGTTGGTACAGGCTCTTCTGATCTATGTTGGGTTGTAGTATATAATTGAACAGGTGGAGCTGGAAGATTAAAGTGTGACTGTTATTATCATTACTGTCTAAGGTTTTTAAATTTCAATTAATAAGATAAGGAAATTAGATAAAATATAGTAAAACAATTTAATAATGTTTCTCAGCTAAATATATTTGAATAGGCCTATATTTAGTTAACATAAATTTAATTCAAACATGTGCGGTAATTCTACCATGCTTAGGACTAAGCTTGTACCTGGTGAAGTAATCGTAAAGAGTGTTCCATTAGGATGACAAGGAAGTGGACAAAGCAGTCTTATTTCATAATCTGCGCAATCATTATCCTTGTTATCGATGCACTGTAAACCGAAAGTGACGTCACAACGAGAAACCTCATCTCCTGCAGGTATCTTGTCAACAATCTTACGGCATTGAATACGTTCAGGCTCTGCGCACGCCAGCGTAGCGTCGTACCTTCTGAACGTGGAAATTCTCTCAGTCTCAACACGAGATGAATCAGTAGATATCCCTAAGCGTTCATCGTCCAGCCAAGGAGACCAACATTTGTCTAAAGAAAGATTATTTATACACGAAGGGAAAAAATACACATTATTGAATGGATTGATGGTGAAATATTAAAACAAATAGTACAACAAATCCAAAAATAGCGAACTGTATATTTTTTCCAATCAGGCCTAATTCAAGATAGGGCCTAATTTGGGAATTAGCAAAAATAAATTAAAATGTGCGTGCTTTATTTAGATATCTAAATTTAAGGAGATAGTCGAGTAAAATTTGACTGTCTTTTATTAATTTGTTATTTCTACGTGTCTTTAATTCTCTTTAGAGAAAATATTTTGTTAGCAAACCATGTGACAATCTATGTGCATAAATATGTGAGTAATATAATTAGGCGAGTATGCGCCTGTACACACTGAGATAATATAGATTTAATTTTAGTTTGTATATTTATAAGAAGTCTTATGTGTAGTATTATAACGAGCTGCAAGTTGTGGTTGTCCGACTTCTATATTGCCTACAAGATAGGAGACTTAGGAGTTTATGCCTTATGACCATGCAGAGGAACATGAAAGTATACCTTCGCCGGACTCTGGCAGTGTGACCAACGGTGTTGATGTCGATTGCTCATATTTCGTCATAATTGGCTGCATAATAGTGACGGTAGTTTGTGAAGTAGTGTTTTCTTGACTCGTCACTCCTCCTGCAATTGTCTCGTGAAATCCTGTGGCAGCATAATCGAAATCTGAACTAGAGAATTCAGAAAAACTTTCCTCTGATACTAAGCTCTCCACTGATGAGCTCTTCACTGTTGAAGACTTTACAGTTTGGTTCGCTTCCTTTGTGCTCTCCACTGTTACGTAAACGTCTGTAACAGCGTCGTTATTGATGTTGCACGGGCATGCAATTCGTATTTCATAATCGGAACACATTACGTCCCTTATTTGACGACATTGCAAACCATATTCCATGATGCAGATAACATTTTCAAGCGTGTCATTATAAGATATATGAGTGTCTACAGTCCTGCATTGTATATCACTCGGTACATCACACGTTTGGTTTGGAAAAACGATCTGAAGCACAGAGATAGTTTCAATCTCCAAATCAGTAGAAGTAAAGTGACTCGTATTATCATCACTAAACCAAGGACTCCAACACACGCCTACAAATATCATATTGTTAGTAAACGTGCATAGCGCATAAAAAAATATACAGTGCTACACTTACAAAAGGTGAAATTAATGAACTGAATACATAATGTTAATGAACAATAAATTAAAGACAATTCACGATGTATATAGTATAAAGTGCACCAATATTACATGCATATGATAATACAAATTTAATAGTAGGCTTTAATATAGATGATATAATTGTGTATTTGGTGATTATTTTTATTTAATAATTATATTAATATTAATAATATTTGCACAATCATAGACAATATCAATTGGCCTTGATTATAGAAGTAATTGTCTTTAGGCCTCAACCCGTTACTGATTGAAATTGAAACCGTATGGTCGGTTGAATCATTGGATGTAGCTGGTTGGAGCTTACCATTCAAGTCTGGTATATATGATTTTCTTCGAACTCTTCCACCTGTGGTTAAATTTTTAAAAATGGTGTAAATATAAATGGCAATAAATATAAACGAAAATATTATTTACGAAATTACACTGCTACTACCTACAATACAACTAGGCCCATTATTGCTGCTGCTACTGCTACTGCCACTACCACTACCACAACCACTACCACTACCACTACTTCTACTACCTCCACTTCTACCACTGCATGTACCACAACTACATATGCTGCTGCTGCTGCTTCTACTAAAATAAAGCACGGAACAACACTAGTGATTTCAATACAAACGTACAATAAAGATCAATGAGCTTGAAGCGTCCATAGGACCTCTTAAATATATAGGGGCCTACAATTTTAGTCAGTTATGATTTAGATAGTTACGTAAATAGCTAAACACTTGCTGAACTAGAGACAGATGCAAGCCGGTACACTCACTTAATATTAAAATCTGTGGCCTACTAGATTCTTCAGTACAATGTAACGTTCTTTATTTTGCGTTTAGTGAGTCTTTAGTTTTATATGTGATCTTTAATGAAAATAACAATGTTACTCAAGTTAATATAATACAATCAAAATATTCCCTTACGAATGCAGCACAATTAATTGGGGAGGCGTGGTTGTGACTATACTTTGATTGCTTTCGTTTTCATCTTAATACACCAGTGTACGTTTGCCAGTGGGAAATAACGTACATCAATCAAGTTACACAAATCCCAGATTGGCAACTGCTTTCAAAAATTAAGTTCGACGAATCAAACCTAAAACACTATTTTATGAATTAGTACACCCCCTAATTTTTTCAAAATTATAGAAAAAATGGAGAGAAAAAAAATAAAACTATATTCAAGTTTAAGTCTGAGAGTGTCATTTCCAGCCATAATCGAACGTTTTCTTACCTCAGCCCCAACTGGGTGGCTTAGACCCTCTACCTGTATCTGTAAAAATCCCTCCCTGGGCCCCTCTATTTTGAATTCCTGGATCCGTCACTGAACTACAATTTTTTTGTTTCTTGTTTCCAAAAATATTGAGCCATATTGTACAGTATGTTGATTCAAGAATGAAATTTTCATGGAATTTAATAATGCGTATTACAATATTATCATTATTAAAATATAATGTTTTAAGTTTGAGAAGAATACCGTATTTGTACATGAATTCATGCGTTACAGATAACATATTGTATACCGTGTAAAGTATGGTAAATTATAAGCTCCTACTTTCAAATATAAAAATTATTGTGAATAAATCATAAGATTAATAAATGCCAAAAAATTAAAAAATTAAAAAAAAATGTGTGCAATACTTAATGGATAAACATAGGCCTAATAACGCACTTTAACGTTATACCAGACACATATCGTAACCATATAATAATACAGCACTATACACAGTTCGATTGTAGGAAAGAAATTAGCGTTGGAAATGCAATAGTGAAGGCAATCTACGGACATGGACGATTTCCTTCCATTTGCCGCTAGAAAGATTCCCGATCCCGTAAGGCTAAATTTCTTTTCGGCAGTAAATCCATGGAGCTTGGGGTATAGACCTTCCATGTATACGCTACACGAACATACGTCCGTTTCAGGTTAAGAATAAAACAAATGTCGACCCTGGAGAAAGCTATGGATCAGTCGTTCAACGTGCAAGGAAAACTGATATTGGTTATTGCCTGACAGGAATTGAAATGCCACTTGATTTTGCCATATTATCCTCGTGGGAGCCGGAACAAGCCAATATGAACGAACCAACATGTCTTGCTAATAATCATTAGCTAATGATATCCTAACACTAACGCTTTTTACAATGATTATAATATAGGCTATTTCTGTAATCCTTTCTTCAAATTTGAGAGACCGAATTGACTTATTTCAATACTTACTTTTACAATTTACATTTTTAATATTCAGATTTAGTATAAACGCAATGATAGGCTAGTACGGTACGTACTGAGGTACACCTCGTGTAAATAGGGTCTGTGCTGATACTAACTAGAACTAGTAGCGTTTTTCATTATTTACTAGGAATTACAATTTACATAAGTGATATGGAATGCAAGAGACCTATTATATATTGTTTTAAATACGTATACACAGATGGGCATCAATTCAAAGCCTACGTTATCATCTGATAAGCTATACCACAACATATTGTTATATCGATTATTCATAAACGAAATTATTCATTTCATTTACTTTAACCGCGATCTGACTCAGGATGAAATATAATATTTTTACATTGGTAGGCATGTATCCTGTTGAAACAACGAAATTCGGATTAGGACTTCACGGCAGCCTAATGCAGCATAATCAGTCAGTATAAAATCCCCTAGAGTCTTTTCAAATAGTATGTGGCCCTACTGAGTTCTTTTCCGTGCATATGTGCCCTTGAGCTCACGAAACCAACCACTAAACGTTCTATCCGGAGGACGATGTAATTAGAGCAGTCTTTCTAAAGACACAAGCAAAGAACGTCATTTATGACAGGTTCCAAACTTGGTCCAATCTCTTACCGCTGCGCTAAACCACTCTCAAGACATCCTGGCAATATGTGGAAAACGAATTTCAGCAATTTTATTTTTATTCTTTTTATTTTTTGCTTTCTTTTTGGCTTTATTGCTTGTTTCATTTATATTTGATAATAATTTGAGAAACTCCGACACAGTATGGCTGGTATTTTCGTTGGAGTCATCTTTATGACGTTGTTTATATTTTACAAGTTGGCCTAGAATACCAGCAAATTCATTACATTGTCCTTGAGTAAATTACTGTTGAACTTATTATTATTTTGTTGTTCAATTTCATGTTTGACGGAAAGTATATTTCAACTGACGATAGGCCTAATAATGGATGGAGCATGGAAGAACCATGTCCTATTAGTTACTTACCTATAATCAGTATATTCAATATTAATACGTGTGATTATTTTTATTTTTGTTTGTCAACCATGGTTTCTACCAGTTAGTTTGATAGGCTTAACTTATGTATTTAACATATTTTCATAGAACACACAGTAACGCGTAGAAATTTATTTTTTTCTTTGTCTCATACCCATCTTAATGTCTACACGAATATCGTTCATAGGATCGATGCAAGAGATATTAAGGGCTAACTCAAGTGGGTCATTGTAAGCATTCTTTGTCTTTGGGTTGGTTGCGTGTATAAAATATTAAACATCGGTGTTCAGCACATAAAAAAATAAGATCAATATTAAAACTGTAGTTTGTATGCTTATATTTAATAAGTTTAATTAACAATCAGAATGAAAACAATATTTTCTTCTCTGGCCTAATTAGGACATTTAGGCCCATGAAACTAATACTTTCTATCGTTATATTTCTTTGAATTTACGTAGCCTGCAGACCAACTAAATTAAATTGCTTCTCCCAAATAATTTAATTGTTACTTTTTATATACTTGCCCTTTTATTGTTTTTTTAAAATAATAATAATAATAATAATAATAGGCCTAATAATAATAATAATAATAATAATAATAATAATAATAATAATAGGCCTAATAATATTCCTAATAATAATAATAATAATAATAATAATATTAGTGTAGTTTTATATAGCGCACATATCCATCTAATGTAAGATGCTCAGGGCGCTTGATATGTGGACTAGGAACTCGATCAATGACTTTCTTTGTGTCTGTGCTACCCGGTAACCCGGTACCAGCAACTCTCGTCTCACTACAGGGGCTGTCTGTCCAGTACACCGGGGTATCCCCTACTCGTCTCCAAGGATGTACTAGGTTCTTTATAGTACACACGAGCCATTGTATGTCACTGGGCCTACGGTCCTTATCCGAGAAGACTTGTTCTACCACCAGAACCATCAGGCGAGCGTGCCGTTCAAACCAGCGCCGATATTTAGCTATAGCCAATTTTAATTATTGATGGGGTTTTCTGGGTTTAACCACCAACAGCAGCATAATTCTTTTTCAGTCAGTAGTGCGTCTGCATATGCGTTAACGTGAGCTACCGATTTATCACAGGGGCCAAGGAAAAATTGACAATAGACATTGAAAAATAATTGCAGTTTACCGAATTATAAGACTGAATATGTAGAATTCCATTCCATTCTCGAATATTCCAGTTCCATTGAATCCAAGTACCATATTGCCAATTCAAAATGGAGTTGACGTCACAATGTTCACAATTCATCGAGTCTTTGTAATTTGTGGTGAACAGAATCCGGCATACAAAAACAATAAAATAGTCTGCCTACGCGAACTGTATTTATAGTAAAATGCCGTAAAATATACTCCTTAATCCCACAGTAACACTCCAATCGCGCTCTCCGCTCTTCTTAAAAACGTATTAACACTAATGATAATGTGAGGCCTTATCCAGCAATCAGTAAATATTGCAATTTAGATGTGTATAAGAAGCTATGTCCACACTATTAAATTTTACGTGTGATGTCCCTTTATGGCATGATGATGTCACATTACACCCAAGTAGGACCATAGCACATTTATCTGTCACATAAATTTGATAGTGGACAAAGCGTAATGCTTATTGTGGCATCTACTGTTTAAGAACCTGGATACCTAAATATTGGATGTACAAATAATTTGTTGTGGGACGCTCTCAGATATAAGTTAGTCGGCTAACATGTAAACAAAGCTTAGACCTTCAAAAATGAAGCAAAACTTGGCCCACAATTATTGAATTATTTATATTATAGTCTATATTTGGATTGGTTTTAAGCATTTTTTTTATTAGGACTATAAGTAATAGATTTTGTGAGACAATAGCAAATATGCGAGGAGTCGCATTTGATTCACAATGAATGAATTCTTGAATCCTAATTAATTATTTATCTGCTGATTGTGTGTACTATATTGTCATATATTTCATATACACAATTAAGAGAACATAGAATACGGGAGTAGTCCAACATGGTTTACTAAAATTTGAGCGACTCATTACATTAAGCCAATGAAAAAAAGCTCTGATAGGCTGATCAGGTAAAGTATGCTGATTAACGTTTAATATCCCACCAA